TTACTTTTTCTTTAAGTAATAGTTTAGCTTTTAGGAATTATATATAAATATTAGAATAAGTAAGAAAATATATTATATGTATTTTCTAGATAAATTAGGATAAAACCTATAGAATTCTTATAATATTTATATTAAATTTATAGTATTAGCTAGTAAAAACTTTAATAACCTTAATAAGACTTGAATTATAAGCCCGGCCCTTAGGTTTCCCGCTTAACTTAAAGATTAAGTAGTTTATAATATATTACCTATTATAGAATATATTATATTCTTTTTCTAAAAAATACTAGATACTAGTAATAGTTTAGAAGCCTTAAAGCCCTTAAGACTTTTCGTGAGTTTCGGGCTTTAGGGCTTTTCTATAGCTAGCTAATTATATGAAGTCACGTGACCATGCGGGTCCGGTATTAATATAAAGTAATTAGTAACTTTATATATAAATATAGTATAGTTTTTAGTATAACTAGTTTAATATATTATATATTTATATATAAATACTTATAATTTTATTATTATAATATAATATATCCTTAATATATTCTTAATATAAAAATCTCTTTATAATCCTAGACTTTTAGGAGCCTCCTTTATACTAAAGGCAAAATATATAATATAATTTAAGTATTAAACTCAAAAAATAAAGAATTATAAAGGCTCTAATAATTATAAAACTTTATAAACTTAAATAAATTTGAGTATTATAAAAGTATTAAATTTAGTAGCCTAACTTTTAAATTATATAAGAACTAATTAAAGAGTATTACTTTAAAGTATTAATTCTAAATTCTAAATATATATATATTTATAAAGAAATAAAACCCAAAGTAGTACTAAGCTAATTATAAGATATAAGAAAAAGTATATTAGATATTAAGCCTATTTTTTCTTAATTACCTTAATCTTAGTAAATATTTATATATAATTTATTAGATCTTATATAATAGGTTTACTTAGAAGAAATAAGGTTAATTAGTCTGGGAAATTTAATAATAATAATTAGACTTCTATCTAATATAATAAGTAAAATACTAGTAATAGCCCGAGTATTTTAGGTTTTACTTATAAAACTAAAGATATTATATCTATTAATTCTTTATATCTAATAAGAAAAAAAGATAATATATTTATATTTTTAATATACTTATTATTATAAAATAATACTTATATAGTTTATAAAATTAATTATAGTTCTTTTTACTAAAGAAAAAAATAATAAAATTAAAAGAAAATCTAATAGCCTATTACTATTATTATTATTATTATTATTAGGATTAGCTTTAGTAATACTTTTCGTAATACTTTTTATATTATCTTATAGCTTCCAGAAATTAGTAAATAAAAAAGAATCCTAGTATATATAAATTAATTAAACCTAAAAATAAGAATTTATAAAAGAAATAAAAAATAGAAGCCAGAATTAAAGAAAAGAATTATATATATATCTTTATTTACTTACTAGTTTATTAGATTCCTTCTTATTCTTAAAGTCTTATACTTATACTAGCGAGTAATACTTTTCTGGGCTCTTTAGGCCTCTTTAGTCTATTATTTAATTTCCTTAAATTACTATATTTTCTGAGTATTTTCTAGTTCTTTATAAATAACTTTAAGATAGAGATCTTTATATAAAGTCTTATTCTAGTATAAAATAAGAAAAATTATCTAGATATTTTTAGGGCCCAGATATATACTATAATAGGAAAGATTAAAGATAGTTTAAATAGAACCTAGTAAAACTATAAGTTCCTGGGTTCTTTTATTATTAGAACTAGTATAAAATACTAGTTTATTTATATTATTAATAAATTAATAATAGTAGATAGGTCCGCTAATATAGAAAGAGAAATAAGGAAATAGCTATTAAGAAACTATATTAGAAAAAGTAAAAAGACTTAATTATTTATTTTAAATTAAAAGCTATTTATTAAAAAATATCTATTAGAATTTATATAAAGAATCTAGTAAAAGAAATAAGAGAAAACTTATTACTAACTTCTTTAGAAAATTAAATAGTTCTTTATTTAGCTCTTTAATTCTTTATATTATTAAATATTTATTTATAAAGAACTAGTTATAAAACTATAGTTTATAATTCTATAAGACTAGATCCGGCTATATTTTAATTTATAAGACCTTAAAGGGTTTTAGGTAGCCTATTACTAGTTAAAGAGCTATAGCCTAGGTAGCGGCCTAAGTAACTCTTGTATTTATAGCCTATTAAGCTTATATAGTAATATAAATATTACTAGAAAAGTAGTTAGATTAAATAATATAGCTTATAGTAAAAAAAAATATAAAAGAAAGTAGTTATAGGGCTATTAAAATAAGAGAAGCCTAGAATAGAGCAGAAATAGTATCTAGTAGCTATATAGTAATAGTAACTAGAGAAATAGATATAATAGATATTTCTAGGGAAAAAAATATAAGATAAGAATACTAAAAAGAGCTAGAGATCTAAAATATTCCAGATATAAAAAAAGAATAAATACAGGCGGAATTCCAGAATTATAAGATTTAAATTTACTAGTATTACTATTCTAGATAAATAAAATAATAGCCTTTATATTATATTTATTATTAGTAAATTAATAGAACTTATAATATTAGATATTATTATACTAGTATTTAGCTATAGGATATATAGTATTAAGGCAGGTTTTAAGAAATAGTAATATTATTTTAAGAAATAAGAATTTAAGAATATAAAATATTTATATAATAAATAAACTTAATAATTCTATTAATATTACTTTTAAAAGTAAAAAGGAGATTTCAAAAATAATATATTTAATAATAAATAATATTTATCTTAATATATCTAGTTATTTTATAACTAGCTTATTTAACTATCTTATATTATTAGAAGTATTACTAATAAAGAACTATTTCTAGATAAAGTCCTGAATTATTAGGAATTATATAAGTATTTTTCTGGCCTATATATTATTTATATACTTTATATTTATTAGAATAACTTATTTAAGAATTCTATTTTATATAATAATAATATTATATTTACTAATTAGCTTCCCGAACTCTCCTAATATTAGTAGCTACCCTAAGGCTATATATATTCGAACTATATATTAGAGCTAGTAATAAGCTTAAATATATAATTAGTTACTATTTCTATTAGTATTTCTTATATAAATATTAGCTATATTTATACTATAAAATATAAGCTTCTAATAATATTACTCTAGTATTTTTCTTAATAGAAACTTATTAATATCTATATTAGTATATAAGTAAACTATTTATATAAAGCTATATAAGATTATATTACTTATTCTAAACTAAATAATTATTAAGAATTATATTATAAAGCTTTATATTTATAAGATAACTCTAGTATTATATCTCGTCTAGGGGCCTTATATATAGTCTAAATAGCTTACTGGCTATTATATTAGGCCTAGATCTGTTTTTTCTAATTTTATAAATATTTTATAAGTTTATAAACCTATATATCTTATTTTGGATCTATTATATATAAAGTACTAGTAAAATAATTCAGTTCTATAAATATTAGTAATTATAATTCCTGGTATAAGCTAGTTCCTAAAAATAGTTCTATATATACTAATTGGAATTAGTTATATAATCTAATATTATAATACTAGACCTAATAGCCTTAATAAAAAGTAGTATAATTATTAGTACCTAATACTTCTTTCTAATAATAGAAAGAATAAGAGGCAGATATAGGGAAACGGAATTACTTATATATTACTAATATAGCTAGCTCTTCTAAAGCTCCTATTACTAGGATTTAACTTACTAATTCTTAGTACTTTTCCTAGAAATAAAATAATTCTCTATATATATAACTAATAAATTAGCTATCTATAAGAATACAAAATATATTTTAGTAATAAAAGAAAGTTTAAAGCCTTAATTAGCCCTAAAGAAATAAGGGCAGTAGCCTATTTAAATATAAATCTAAAGATATTACTATATAACTAAATAAGTAGTCTAATTAGAAATTCTAATATATATTTAGATAATATTATATAAATAAGTATTAATATAAGTATATATCTCGATCCTAAATAATAATAGCTTATTATATCTATTAATTAACTAAATCTAGTCTAGCCCAAGTATAATATATTCTTTTTTCTTGAATTATATCTATTATATTTATAATATAATTATTTCGGGATTCAGGAATTATAATATTATATATAAGCTCTCTTTATAAATAATAAAATATATTAGTAAATAAGGCTCTAATCTTTTAAACTAGGGCAAAATAGTAAAGTATAAAAAGGCTAACTGGATTACTAGTAAACCTTATTAATAGAAGGATATATATAAATACCGCTATTTATAACCTATAATTCGCTTATTATTTAGCTTACTTTATAATATTATAAATAGTTATTTATTTACCGCTTGCCTATTTATTATAGTTATATAATAGATAAGACTAAGCTTTTTATATATATAGACGATTCTAGTAATTAAAGCTATATAGTTATAATCCTTAAGATCCTTAAGTATTTCCTTATTTATATTTCCCAGATAATATAGAATTATAATCTATATATAAAGAAAAGATATATCTGCTATTTAAGTATATATTTAAATATTTTATTCTTATAATTAGTATTTAATTATATAGATATTAATATTAATTTTCCATAAATCTTTTAATTTTATTATAATTATTTTATAGGAAATATTTATATAAGCCTATTTAATAATAGTATTATAATATAGTAAAAGATTTATAAAATATTATAGTATTTTAATATAATTAAATAAGGTATTAATAATATTAATATATTATAAGTTCAGGCTATATATTACTATTATAAAGCACTTTTAGTAATATAAGTACTAAATTACTAGAGTAATAGTGAGGCATATCCTAAAAATAGAGGGGCAGGCATGTACGGTTGTCAGAAATCAGAAAATCAGAAATCGAAAATCAGAAAATCAAATCTCGCTTCTCTGTTTTGTCGACTAGCTAGCTGTGGGCCTCAGTACGGTATCACGGTGACTTCATGAAGAAGAAGGTAGCTACTGGAGGCTACGAAATCTTGGAACGGAGTGATAGCGTTCTTAATCCGGGAGGTAAGTACGGCGTAGATGCAGAATGGAATCACACGAGATATTATCACCTGAGACGCTTGCTGAGAAAATGCAGTTGTCCGCTTCGGGTCAGCCGAGCTCTATAATGTGATCGGTCGATTCAAGTGGGATGTTCTGGACTGTATCGTCGTTGGGCGAAGGCGACCTGGAGGTTCGGATGAGGTGGTGGTAATGTTTCTGAAGCTCACACCGGATCTCACTCGTACTCCGTCTCTACTTACCTCAATCAGGAAGTCTACCGGAACAAGTCTGAGTCCGCGGCACATTCCGAAGTTTATACTCCAGGTGCGGGATATTCCCTATACTGCGAATGGAAAGAAGGTGGAGAACGCTGTCAAGGTCATCGTCAGTGGACAGAGCCTTGTTGCATCGGGAATGGTGGTTAATCCTGAATTTCTGGATGAATACCGCCAGTTTGTGGACCTGGGCGGTGCATCTAGGATGTCAGCGAAGATCTGAGCAATACCATAATGTAGAGAAATTGCCATCTGTGTCTTTCTAAAAGATGAGTCCTGGGAGAGCTAGTCATGACTACAGTACAACCCCCCCTCCCCCCCGGTTGTCAATAGGGGTATCAATTGGGGACCAGGGTATTTAGAGACCTTAAGTTAGATTTTTTTAATATAAGTATAAGCTAGTATATTGCAAGGCTTATAATATATTTATGTTCTTAACTTATAACAAAATGATTTCTTAAAATGAAAATTTAATTTAAAGAACTTTATATACTAATTAATTAAGTTCTACTTTTTGGGCCTTATAAGGCCCTATAAATTAAGAGCTTATCTCTTCGCCTGGTGAGACATTGCTACCTTAGCGGCCGCATGAATTTAGATAGCGAATTAAAGTAAGCGATTTGTATTCTGGCCTAATAGGGGATATTCGCGTGCGGCTACTAAGGTGGCAATGTCTCACCAGGCGAAGGGATAGGGCTCTCATGTCCAGTTTTAGGTACTTATTCGCTAATTTCTAGGCTTTCTTAAGCTTACCTTTAGGCTATAAAATATTTACTTTTTAACTTTTTTAATTTAAAGAAAATAATACTAATTCAAATCTTATAAAGAGTTTATATTTGAATAACCCTTAATTAGCGCTTAAAAAAAAATCAAAAAAGTTTTAAATTCTACTAATCACTTATATAAAAAAATTAATTTAAAGAGAAGCTTGATTTTTGGTGTTCTTGTCCGAACACCCCACCAGTGGCCCCCCAATCGACACTCGGGGGGAGGGGGGCGCTTTACATATTCCCGTTTGTAATAAGCTAATAAGCGAGCAAGGCGACCCTCCTCATTCTTCGCGTCTCCCAATTCTCAAGTTCTCTAACAATTTTTCAACTGTGCATGGCTTTTTCTTTCTTCCCTAGTTATCTAGAAGCAAAGAGATGGGTGACCACTCTTGTTACTAGTTGCGCAGGATGGCACTACAAGGAAAGTACGACTCCGCATAACTGTATTTTTGCACTTCTAGGGATGGGGAAAATTTGCGGTGCGGCCGCCCCCTGGAGAAAGGTGTACTTATGGGATGTGCTCATATGGATGGTTGTGGAACCGCGCCGCACCAGGCACCCCAAAGGCGCAGTACGGAGATGAGACAAAAAGCTAGATACCTTGATAACATACCAAACTCGCTTTCAGTTACGACCTGTCCCCTGAATGGTCCATACTAAAGTGGAGATGCTCGCAATACGAAGATTGCGGCATAAAGTGACGGGATTACAGGGCATTTGTACCGCAAGTCCACTTTCAGGCCACTTTCTACTACACTCACCCACTAAAGTCCCCTATATTTCCAGGCTACTCTCCTATAAGCACGCTATAAACTATAAACAAGGGGTACCACACCTTTAGAAGGCATATCCCCTGTACTTACAGGGGAATACTCGCTACAGGGTCCTATAATAGCTCTCTCACAGCGCCCGAGCGCTACGGTTGCTCCGCCAGCAACACCATAACCCTTGAAGATTTTCCACCACCTTGGAAATGTCTCACAGCCCTTGTTTTAGGGGTTCAGGCCTAGAGTTACAAGGCTTATAGCAGGCGCAGTACCTTAAGCCACACCCTGGAGTCCGCTAACACCCCTATGCGAACGTAAATGCCCTGTAATCCCGTCACTTTATGCCGCAATCTTCGTAACTGTATGCTATTAGCGGAGCCAACAAATGAAAACGGTGGTTACAAGACATCCCTATGATTTTATCGTATTTATAGAGGTAGATTTGTAAATCTGCAGTTAGAAATAGGGCCGATGATATTCACCTCGTGTAGAATTTGAGCATGCATCACTTCACTTGAATATTATAGGTCAGGCTTACGGCGATTCGCTCCATTTCCAAACCAGGATTTTGACCGTTGGAATGTTGTTAGTTTCTAGCTGCACGCTGCAGACTTCTGCAGAGTGCCTTTGGAAACCTCTCAGGCCATTATTGGAAGTAGCGCAGCATCTTTTTTAATACACATCAGCAGGTAGATGCGTTCATTCTATCAAATGAAGCATAAGTGAGGCGAAGCATAAGCTAAATTTGCCGAAACTCTATCTGCACCAAGCTCGAAAATCTCAAAGTCGCAACATAGAAAAATTTCTTCCACGAATTAAAATTTCAGTGACCTCTCCCCCTTTTAACTTAAAGCACTCTCACCGGAGACGTCTTTACTTAATCACATGCAAGATTGCCGTTTTGGTTGCTGAGGTAAGGCGCTAGAGAGTATTAACACAGTTCTCGTCACCGAAGAAACCCCCAGTCAAGAACAACTCACATGTATCAATCTCAGAATAAACGTAACTGCCCGCATTATTCCTGCAAGCGCCGCAAGTCAACCACCATTGGAACTGAGGCTGCATTTGGCAATCGCTGCAGCTAAATCCGAAGCCAGAACCGCCGAACTATTCATTCCTTTAGACGTGCTTGAAGGGTTTAGTACTTGATTACTGACATATATTTGTCCGTTATTGTTATTGAAACAATTGTTGAGTTCAAGCTGGGTGTAGTGAGGACTCCCAGCGGCGTTGTAGCAATACGCCTGCAGGATCGTAGTACCGGAGAGCAAACTGGCAGAGTAACAGGTATCATACCAGTTGGCGCGTTCTACCAGTTTTCCGGGTTCGGCAATTGCGATTGCGGCTGTCAGAGCCTGCTGGACGGCAGCAGCCATCAGAATAATAGATGACTTCATATTATCAAATAAATTGGTAGTTAATTTGATTTTGCGGGAGATGAAGATAGAAGCAATGAAAGAAATTTGTGACCAGCTGTCTGCTGGGGATCCTGTTTTATTTATATGTTTTGAACCATATGTTTTTGAGCTCCTCGCCTCCTCATTTTCGTATCCGTTCACATATTCCGCAAGCGTTTCCAGAATGAGAGACTTGTCCCGCTTCCCTCGAGTTCCCTTCTTCAGCCCTTCTCTGTAGGATTTTACTGCTTTTGGGGTAATAAGCAGCATAATGTGAACAGGGCTCTTCCAGTCCGTGCCAAAACCAACACTATGGCCATAACCGTTGTGTTCGGTCCAAAATTCATTTTGCACACTCCAGATCTACAGGCTAGTACGCACAATGAATGTATTGTGCAAGAATTTAACTTTAGTATTCAAGACCTTGCATACGAGCCCGTTAGCTTAAGCTGACGGGGAAGGGCTGTGCCACGCCTAAGGCGTCGCGATATCGGCAAAAGCTGAGCCATAGCCGCAATGATTGGCTGAGGACATTAACTGCCTAGTTGCCTAACCAATGTGACTCTGTGAGATGACCCACGCTGTCATGCCGAGACGGTCTGTGTTGGTGTTCCCATATTGCCTGTCTGAACTTTCCCCGCCTCATTCCTTCCTCTCCGCTTTCCGTCCCTTTCCGGGAAGTGGGCCGGGTAAAGGGACGGAAGGGGGACTCGCTTAGTATTCTATTCTCCCTTGCCTTTCTCTTCCTTTCCTAGCCTGCGCTACGCTCACTAAACCTTTTCCTTCCTCTTCCTTCCCTCCATCCTCATATTCCCTTCTTTGCTAAGGACCAGGAAAGCAAAGGCGAGGAGTATAAGAATACTGGCACAGGCTATGTGATCTGGGAAGCGAATTCAAAGCTAAAATAGAAAACCTACTATTAAGGGAAGAGAGGCTATGTACAGCTGTGCAGGCTAGAAATCACAAGTGGGAGGCTGTCATCTAGCCACATAAAACTCATTGGCTAGAGTCCTAGTCACATACCGGTTACAACACAGAATACTACCTCTACGGCATGACCAAAGGCTCAATGAAAAACATTTCAATGATGATCGGAGGAAATAATGTTCAATATGACAGCCCCACAGACAGAAAGTTTCCCGTGCTTATCCCAGACACTAAGGTTTCCGAAAACACGTTCCAATGCCTATTTTGGAATGTGAGCAAGGCCGTGTTCTGTTGCCGTGTCGCCGGAAAGCGAAGGACCCATAGGGCCATAGCGAAACATACCAAAAAATTGTTCCCCTCAAATCTACAAGAAAAGAAGAACATTGAAATATCTCCCTCCGGTCGGCGCCGCTGGGAGAGTTGTAAAAAGAATAAACACTAAAACCCTTCCCTCGCTTTTATTCCGTACTCCTTTATCTCCCACTCGAGCTCAATCGCCTCCGCTTTCCATTACCCCACAGCCCCTTTAACCTCTCTAATCATATCCCAAGTAACATACAGTTCCTCCTCTCCAGCCCTCCCCCAACAGCGTTTTGGAACCAAACTTCTCATAGGTAATACTAACATAACTTTACAAGTGCCCTCACTATACTTTAATATGCCTTCGCGATCGGACGGATTCAGAGTAGCGCGGCGGCCGAGTGGCCCGAGTCCCACCATCCGACAAACATAAAGACGATGAATAAAATGAAAGCGAGTGTGAAAGACGTGTTGGAAATAAGGGAGGGGTGTTTAGAACGGTATATAGATGTTAGTAGTTTGCTGCGTTGTCAACCGCTGCGGAGGAGCAAACGTATTGGTGTCCAGTGTGTCAAAGGAATACTCAAACTACTTGAGTTACTTAAGTATATACTCATTGAGTATTGAGGAGAGTATAAGTAACCCCTCTATAACTAAGCTTAAGTAGAGTAGAGTAGACTACTTAAGTAGTTTAACTACTCATCACGTGGTTTATTCTATTAAATATCTCTCTTAATATTACAAATATTATTAAATTATTCTCTTTATTGTCTTACTTTACCTTTATTATCTTTTTTATTATTTAAAATTCCTCTAATACTACTTATTATATTAGTAAAATTTAATATAATAATCACGTGTTATTTCATACATGTAACTTCTAAATAATAAGTCTAAGAGAAAAGGAATATATAGGGCTTATTTGACTTCTGCTTGCTCTTAGATAGAATATAGCCCTTTAAAGTAAGATTAAACTAATAATTGAATCGGGGGACTTGCCTAATATAATATATGCTTACACGTGACTCACTACTTAAGTTACTTAAGTATATACTTAATGAGTATTGAGTAGAGTATAAGTAGGATATATTTTGGCTGAGTAGAGTACGAGTAGGACCCACTACTCTACTCTACTCTACTCATTTGACACACTGTTGGTGTCGCGGAAAAGCGATATCGCCGGACACAGAGAGCCGAAACGCTAGGGTTCCGCTCGAACTTTCGAACTATTTGCATTCGTCGAATATTTGACGAATTAGATTGAATCGAATTATTTTTATATAGTTCGACGGTTCGATCGAATTAATTCGACTCCGATTCGACGGTTTATCGAATTTTTTCCACGTAATTTTAATATTTTCATATAAATTATTATATATACTTTCTAGTTATATTTAAGTCTATAATTCGAGTTCTTAAAAAATTTTCCCTTACAAAGCTCTTTGCTTTACTTTGCCCTAATTTTGCCCTAAAATTGAGCTTAAGCGAGAAAAGTGCTTTCATATAACAAACTTGTCTAGACTTAATTAAGATTTCTAAATAGGGGGTCCTTTACTTAAGCGAGATTTCCCAAAATCATAAGTTTAAATATAATTACTTAATTTAATCTTTAATCTTTATATATTAGTATAATATTTGTAATTAATAGACTTATAATAGCGTATTTATATTCAATTTTTAAGAGAGGATCTTTATTTTTAAAGGAGAGAGCTAAAATCTAATTTCACGTAATAAAAGTTCGATTTGATTCGAATTTCGACGAATACTCATCGAATTATGGTCGAATTTTTCCTATATAAAAATTCGATTCGACTGTCGAATTCGAATTATTTAAAAGTTCGATCCGATTCGATTCGAGCGGAGCCCTACTCGGAAACGCTATTGTATTGAGCGAGTTGAGTATGTGCGAAGTTGGATCCGTCCAATTGTAGGCACACGATTCGGACACGGTGAGATTCCAGATGCCTTGTATCCCGGAGAGATTTTGCATTGGGAAATCGAGGAACTAGGTCGATAGAGTATCTGGGAAGGCCACCAACTACATTACGGTGCAGCAAGATATAGAATCTTTCTTTCTTCGGGTAACGGCTGAGGGTTTGTTACGGTTCTTATGCAGATGCGGGGACTATGAAATAGTTTGATTAGTGGGTGGACTTTTCGAACATTTGCAGATTGTACCTGCAGCCGGCGCTTCCTTCTCTCTACATCACACTTGGGGCACCGGTCACGACCGCCAAAACTTGATGGGGACTCCCCTTTCTCTTCGCGGCACGCATATCTTTGCAACATTTTCTTGTGCATAACACATGCACCTTCTCGGTGGTATGTGTATTCCACATGTGGTGGTTCTGCTGTGCAACCATCGTGCTTGAATGGGGTTTTTATCACGACGCATGAGGCTGTATACTGCTGTCAGAAGTCGCTCAATACCGAAAGCGTTGCCCACTTACAGGGCATAATGAGAACATATCAAATAAAATAATGCCGTACGAAGTTTTGGGCGAAGCCTCGTTGTCTAAAATGTATTATTACGGGCGTATGTAATCGTAGAAACTGTTTATCCAAGCCAGATATCTTCTTGGTGGGGTGCGAGGGGGTGGGTTCCGGTGACTTATATCGTTGATTCACTCATTTTGTGGTGGCTGAGTTGAGGGTGGCTCCATTACAGTGTAATTCTAAAGATGTGGGTGTGCACGGATTTACGGCTATGGGTTGGTCAGGCCAGAGGGGCCTGGTGGGCTGAGCATGTCGGACGAAGGCAGAGGCTGAGGGTGGCACCCTTTCCCTCTCCTTGTTTTACTGAAGGTTAGTCACCCGGGGACTTTGCTGCAGCCTCGGTGCACAGCCAGCTGGCGTGCACATTCCCCCAATTTTGCGAAAAGCAACCACACGGACCGAACCTTCATCATCGTGAGACTGACATCCACTCTTAAATAATGATTTGACGGTAACACGGTAGCCATTACAAGAGACAGCTTTTATTTCCTCGAGCCCGAGCTGCTGAGAGTGAACCATCCTCACACCACCTTACTGTCCTCAAAGAGCAGGGTAGTTGACGTCACCGCCTTTTCGACTCAGAACCCGCTGAAGTACCATGTCAAGAGCCACCCCCACAATGTTACTAATGCGGAGGAGCTGAAAGGTATTGTTCATCGCCCTCTGGTTGGCGATGCAAATTCGTTGCGGCATGTGGATCGTGTATAGTACTTCCATCCTGCCCACCCCCTCGTGATTTGACCTGATCATCTCTTAAGTTACGAGATCAATTGGCCATTTGCGAGAAGCCTCCTTTGTAGGCAGTTTGTGAAGGGGGTTTTCGACGAGTGGGATTCGAAAAAGACCGAACTCCAAGAAGAATTCAGTTTGATTGACTTCCAAATGTTTCTCTTCAATGCCGATGAACGCGACGAATTAAATCGCCGGCCCGAGTTAGATTTTTCTTTTTTTTGGACCCGGATCAACCTCGGATGGAGCACTTTTAGGTGCAAAAGGTAAAATATCAAGCCGTGCTACTGATACGAATTGTCCAAGAGGGCTAACAGAGAACAGATCCTGATCGAATCCTCTACCATTTTGGATTCGACTGGATGGCTATCGTACCAAGCTCCATAGGTCAAAATGAGGAGGTATTCAAAAGGCTCCGCCTTGGGAACAAGGAAATTCCAGTAAGTTTTGCAACCGTTATAGCACTCTCGCATTAATCTGGAGCAGGACAAATGTATAGTTCGACGTAGGACGTGCATTGCAAGCATCATACAGACACAGGACACACCTAAACTTCTAGGATCTAGTCTCTGTCCCATATCATGGGAGTCAAAAACAAAATTGGTTCATAGAAGAACCTTGATCCTTTTCAATGAACTTCACGCTTCTCAAGATGGGCTTAATTTCAAGGGCTGGATCTCTCCCGAAAGGACCAACATATGGGAGGTTGTAGATGACTTCAACCTTTCTAAGGACAACGAGGTCACTACCATTGCTTTCATATACAGGCTCACAGGCACAGTGTGGCAGGAAGTGGTCCACGCATGGCGTAATGTTATAGACAAGGCTTCGGAGCACATTCGGACCTCCGTACGTCCTGGCGTAGTTCTCTGCTGTTGTCCGCTCTCAAACTAATCGCGTGGCAGGAAAAGCTCGCACTCGACAAAGGCCTCTCTATAGAGCAACTAGAAACTCTGGCACAAGATACATGGGAAGATTCACTATCCTGGTTCACCATCCGCAAACTCCTCATTGCTCATCAGAAAATGATCTCCAAATCGCAATCAGATCTCAAGGCTCTTGCTAAGCTCGTGGGTCTGACAGAAGAAAAGAACCAATTGCGGGCATGCCTTGATGAATTGAAAGAGCTGGAAACTATCGTCTCCCAAGACTTTAGCACACGCGGACAAAGTATCTCGAGTCTGGTCTACAATATAATCGGCGTACGAAATGCTCAAGCTGCACAAACATATAGTGAAAGTATGGGCCGCATCACTTGGATCTCATTCATCTTCTTTCCACTAATTGCAGTTTCGGTAAGCATCTCTGCAAACATACGGATGAGTCTTGTTGATCAATCAGCTGACGCCAGTGTTGTGTCACAGGGTCTTTTTGGCATGAATATAGATCTTTTAGCCAACAACCCATCCGTAAAATGGTACTTTATCGTCGCAGTACCTTTTTTGGCGTTGGTTTTAGGGTTAGCGTTGATTCTGAACTATGCTGCTCCTATCATGGCAAAGGTGAGGAGCAAGAAAGACTGATGAGATAATACAACTTCTTAGCCTAGTCCATATTCCGTTCCAGGACTGCGGGTACGAATGGTACGATCAGTCTCACAGATGACCAGCCATGAGAATCAGACTAGGTTTGACTCCTTTTTGCGACACTACGGCAAATCCCCTGGACAATGCACTACCGTCACGGGCTGGAAGTTCTTCAGAGTGCCTGTTCGTAGACTACACTGGGAACCTTGGAGCAATTTTGCCAGCAGGTACTGGGAGTATTGGAATGAGATCAACGAGAGGCTATCCTGAGCCGTATCGGACGACCGAATTCCCCCCAAACCGCTGCGGGATGAGCTTGTCGGTCTTATTTCAAACACATTCATCCCTTATATCCTATCTTTGACGAATTCGACTTTTACACTAAATACAATCTCGGCGGCGATGACCTTTCATTCATACAAAGTGTCAGCCTGCTTGAGTTCCAAGCATTGATATTTGCTGCGCCTTTGGTATGCCCTCCTTCCATCGCCACGTTCGCATTACACATCCTTCTAACAGATACAGCACCTCAACAATGATCAGTTAAAACTCACTCACTACAACGCAACACATTAATTAATGCACATAAATCGAGCGGAGTAGGGAGCTGCATTGAGGGTAAAAGAGATCACTAAAGTTCATTCGAAGAAAGCTCAAGGTATAAAAGCTCTGGGATATATATATATACAAAGTGTGACTAAATGAAAAGATCGCGCTATGCCTTATAAAGAGATCCTAACTGCAATTACCTCTTATTTAGGCACGACCCGTTAGTGATCTATATATTTTATCTAATTAGAAAGTTCTTTTTAAACAAATTTTATCTAATATTTGTAATTTGGAAAGCTATAATAATCTTTAATTTAAATAAGCTTAATATATATTAATATTTCAAATTACTAACTTTTTAATTATACTTATATAAACTTCTTCTTTTTACTTCCTTTAATTATATTTTCTTTATATTTAATTATTTAATTAAATGGAATTTATGAGTTTAATATAGTTTATATAATTTTAAATAGCTCGCAATGTTACAGGTGTCACGTGCGCTGCTAGTTACATGATACACACTGTATTCTTATATATACTAGAATAGTTAATAAGGCTTTTAACCTTATTATTATGCCTTTTTGGCCCGTTTACTCACTTAGTAAAGCTATTTCCCTATATGTGCGTTTATTAGTCTAAGCAACTTGTAATATGCAAGTTTATTATATATTTTATTCTAAAATATTTACTTAATACTTATATTATAAATATAAAAATACAATTCTTTAAAATATTTCTTGCCTTAATTATATTAAGTTTCTTATATTCTTTAAACCTTATTTTAATAATTAGTTTTATAATATTTAGTAAAAGTAATTATTTTAATACTAAAAATAAAGGAGCTTATTATTAATAATATATCTTGAATTATTCTTATACTTTAATTCCGAACTTTTATAAATGAGTTATATAAATATTTTCTTATAAAACATCTAATTACTAAGCTAAAGGTAATATAATAGGTCAAAGTAATTGCGGGCTTAGCTATAGTTAGATTATAATTATATTTCCTTTATATTTATATTTAAATTGAGGTTTACTTTTAATAGGGTATACTAAATATACAGATTTGTGTATTGCTATCCCTCGGTTAATAGGCTCTTTGGCGAGAATATTAGGTGAGAACCGCTGAAGGATTAAGGTTTGCAGGGTAGCTAAAACAAAGGGGTTGAGACGGAATTAATGTTTGCAGGGTAGCTAAAACAAAGAAAGGAGTTGAGACGGAATTAAGGTTCGCAGGGTAGCTAAACCAACGTACACTGGGGTTGAGATCGAATTAAGGTTTGCACAAGCATGGTGAACTAGTTTCATCTGAGGGTTAAAGGCACTGTCGCGTTTGACAGCTTGGGCTACAGTGCATGCCGCAGGCCAGAGATCGTAAGCATATAGAGTGCGCATTCTTCGCTATTTATCATTCATCAGCAGGTTCTCACATTTACGCAATTCACTTCAGCAGCTATATCACCTCGCATTCTTTCTCGTATTTGTTAGATTTCAAGACAAAGCCATTCTAAGGCCATTCTACTCGGAATACTACTAGCCGCAATCATTTTCCATACCAAACCGATATAGCACTTCTTCTACCTACGACAATTATGCAGTTCTCTACGATTCTCCCTATTGTTTTCTGTCTGGCGGCCTCCACTTTGGCCAACCCTATGGCGTTGCCCAAAAAAAACCACTGCGGGGATGGAGCTGGAGCTGGACCCGGAGCAGCAACTGGAGTCGTGTCCGCGCAGGTGAAGGCCAACGTCTCTGCCCAAATCGACAAATGGTTGGGCGACATTAAAAGTGTCAACACCTTCGTAGACGCCGTTGGCAGCGTCACTGATCCGGCAGTAATCAGCTCTATGGCTGCCACGGCCTTCGTAGCTGCCCAGAATGAGGGCGTCTCAAATACAGTTCTACAGCAAGATGTTACGCTCGATGCGTCTGGCCTGGCCGCAGCTCAGGCGCTAATAGGACAATTCAACATAATCGGCCCAGCCATCAACGATACTATCTTCAACCCGGGTAACGTCCAGAAGAACCTCGACGCGATCAACGGTGCGAGGTATAGCTATCTCATCCGGCTGTGTATCGAAAATTTATTCATGCTAACTGTTTTACCTCCAGATGTCCTCCCCCTCAAGGCAAGGACGCCATTTCCCAAGAAGGTGCTGTTCAGGCAGCAGCTGCCTTGGCTGTTGGTATTACCGTTCCTCCTCCTCAGACGCCAACCGCCTGTACCACCGTCGCCGCGGCGACAAACTGAGGATGCTGGGCTATATACTGTCTGTGACAGCTCGAGGGGAAGGAGGGTTGTGGGTGTTCGTGCTGGTAATCCTGGTCCTCGTAATCCGGGTCCTCGTAGCACCCACTGATACAAGGGAGGAATTCCCTCAAGACAATGCAATCATTAATATACCCATTATCGCCACTGTATATATTCTCTCGAGCAGCCTTTTCTTTCTCCTGTGCGGTTCTTTTTTAGCCCCGTCTTTCGTGTATTTTTCGTACCCCCTGTAAAATCATTAAGGGAGGAAGCATCAACTCCAGTTTCCGCTGCTCCTTCCTTCGAGATTGCACTCTAAACGGTGTCGAGAAGAGATTTATATTCGAGAGTTATACGTTGCGTAGATCAAAGACGTGGAGGTCGATTGTTTCCTATGCTGAAGCGTCATTCAATATCGCCTTCGCGACTTCAGGTACAGATCCTGTCAGCTGGTGACCACTTTAAACTTGAACTGAGCCTGAATATTATGGCTGGTGTACTTTTCGAAGATTTGAATTAAAATAGCTTACACTAGGTAACGAAGAAATCTAGAGCGAACAACCACCAAGCAAGTAATGTACATCCGGCTATATCGAGAAACATCAGTGTATAGTAGTCCTTAAGATATGCAGAAACTATATAAAAAAAAATCAAACTTATCTTCGTAGATGTTGATTTGGATATATTAATGCTACTACAAAATAAGAGTTGTATAATAATGTGTCTCGGAACCATGACGCAACCCTTAGGAAGGGTCTTTGATACACCATCCGAACTCCGGTTTTGGCTGCGATTTTAGCCTATTCTCTGTGTCGGCGACAGCTTTATTTCCGTCTTACTGTAGGATCGTGACCGACCCATGTTCTAGAGCCAACCAGGTTCTGGCGGCATTTCAGGGCCAAACTCGCTAACCGCTTTCGAGACGATACTGAGGCCATTAGCGGGCTAGCGGACAAATCCGAGAAGCGAAAAGTGATTTTCTGATTTTCTGATTTTCTGATTTTCGCGCCCACCCCCCACATCTCACTAAAAAAAAAAAAGTACAGCATACACGCCTTATTCTCGACTACTCCTAACCCCCCCTTAGCTTGCGTGGTCCGTAAGGCAAATCCCATGGATTATAAGGTATATCTCTATCTCTCTTACTCTCTGTATCCTCCGTACTGCCTATATTACTTGAATTATCTATATCTCCTTTGTCCCCTTTTCCTCTAGTATCCTTACCCTCCTCTGCTATAACCTCCTTCCCTATTGCCTTCTGACCTTATATTTATCTTTATACTCGCTTTCTATATCTTATAGGCGGTCGAGGCTTTAGTATAAAGGGTTTTATAGATATAGAGCGAGGCTTTCCAGACTTGGTAGGATTAGTATTAAGTTAATAGAAAGTATAGACTTTACTATTATTATTATATCTATAATTTGTATAAGTACTATTGAATTTGCCTTCTATAACTATATAGTATTTAAAAGGGCCTCTCGGTCTTTTCTTATTACTATAAGTAATATAAGCTTGAGAGGATTCGGTTCCGCAAGTATATACTAAGCTTGCTTCCAGATTTGCCTTGCCTTTCTCTAATTCCTTTAGCTTCCTGCCCTAATATAGCTCTATCTCTCTAACTTTAGCCTTATTATTAATTCGCTTTATTACTTTAGTAGTATTATTAGGTAATATAAGGAGATTAAAGTATTATTACGGAGGAAGAAAAGGAGGTCATATATAAGAAGGAGGTTAAGGAGCAGAGGGATTTATTAGTTAAATATATTAATGAGAGAGAATATTATAGACTAAGTCTAAATTATTAGAGAATATATTATAAATATTATCTTTTTACTTATTTATAGCTTTATTATCTTTTCTACTACTTTTGCTTTTACTAGAGCTATTACCTAAAGCCATATTTAATATATCTTTAATAAAGAAGAGCTTTAATAATAGTATTATATATCGGAATTAAAGTTATTTTCGGAAGAAGATTAAGGTTAAGGTTAAGGCTAAGGTTAAAGCTAGTATAGCTATATCTTTATTATTTATCTTTAGGATATAAAGATATATATTTAATATAATTATTTAAATCCGAATAAATTTATAATAAATAATACCTAAAAATAGAAATATTAGTACTTAATAGCCCTAGGTTAAGTATATTTAAATATTAAAAAAATTATAATTTTAGGTATTATAGTTATAAAAATAAAGATATAAATATTCTTTTTTTTACTAACTTATAAAAGCTAAGATATACTAATAATAATTAAACTATACTTGACCCGTATAGTTAGCTAATTTACTTTACTAATTATAAATAATTCAAGGTAATTTAAATTTCCTTAAATCTCTATATATAGCTTATTATATAAACTTCTATATTTCTATATTTAGTAATACTATAATTATAATTTTTGGATAAGAAGAATTCCCTTATTCTAATATATATAATTATATTTATTTCTTATTTTTCGAATATATAATTATTAAATTAGAGAGGCTTAAGAATTCTAAGTAATACTTTTTCCTAAGAGATATATATTCTTAATAAATAGCAAAAGTAAATATGAAATTATATAATAATATAATTACTTTATACTAGTAATTTTATTTTCTATAAAACTATAACTCTATTTTATTTTTATTCTAAAATCTCTATTCTTTTTCTATATTTTTTCGATTTTGCTATTAATACCAAGAGCTTCTGCCCTTTACTAATACCTTCTCTATTAATACCTTTATTAATACCTTTATTAATACCTCTATTAATACCAAGAGCTAGTATCTAACTACCTTATAACTTTTCTTTCCTTCTTCTTATTCCTTCTTATTCCTCTTTTAAACTCCTCTTCCAAATTCCTTTTCCGAACTTCTCTTCTTTTAATACTTCTTCTATTAATACTAAGAACTAGTATCTAATTACCTTATAATCTTCCTCTCCTTCTCTAAACCCCTCTAAATCCCTTCTCCGAATCCCTCTTCCTTTAATACTTTTACTAATAATACTAAAAGCTAATACCTAATTACTACTTCCGGGTTACTTTTATCTAGAACTTTCATATCATAAGTCTTTAACCTACTTGCTTCTTAGAAAGCTAAATTTTAGATCCCTTTTTTCCTTCTCTAATATTTCTTTTTCCCTTTTTCTGATATCTCTTATGCCTTTGGGCCCTTTGGGAGTATTTTTTCTCGAACTTCTAAAAAAGAGACTAACTCCTATTTAGATCTCTCTGAACTTTAATATCTCCTCTTCTCCTTTAATACTTATAAAAGCCTTTAGGCTATTACTAAGTACTCCTATTCTTTATTTTGGAATATATACTAATTTATTCTTATAGGAAATAGCCTTTCTCTCTCTAATCTTGATTTCTTTAATATATATTTTTTGCCTTTAGGCTATTTAGATGTTTTCCCGTTTGTTTTTACGGAATATATACTAACTTACTTTTTAGTTTCTCTCGCTTTACCTTTTTTTTAATATTACTATATATATGCCTAGTTAGTACTAGTTCTTATAACCTATAGTTAGGCTTTCTATTTATTAAATACCCGGATATTTTATTTTACTTTTACTTTATATATTTTGTTTTATATACTTTACTTTTCTTTTATTATAGATTAGGACTCAAATAGTATTTACCTTAAGTACTTATATTCTCGGGTATATAAGACTCTTATAGATCTTTCGGGATTATAAACTAGCCTATTTTGGTTCGGGAGAGCTTCCTTAAGAGTATTCCAGGAATTATAGTATTTACTATAACCCTTCCTAAAAATTAATATAATATGGGTATTTCTGGTCTATTCTCTCTCTATAAAGCAAACCGCTGCCCTAAGTTTATATAAAAGTCCTAATTATTCCTCGAGTTAAAGTATAAGTATTTCTTATTTCTATTAAATTAGGTATAAAGAATAGTAGGTGCCTTTAGGCTAGACTATAGTACTAGTTAAGTACTAAGACTTCTTATACCTATCTTATAAACTTATAGTTTAAAATATATTATATTTAATAGGGCTTTTATATCTAATTACTTTATACTATAGTAAAATATCTTAGTATTATAATTAGAAAAGTTCTGCTTTATAATCTTATCTACTACTTATAGATTTTCTAGCTAATAAGTCTTAGCTAATAGCTAAGAAACTTATTAGCTACTTTATTTAAAGCCTCTAGAAGCGGGAAGTTACCTTAATAAAGACTTAGTATTAAAAATAGGTTTAACTAATTAATCCAAATAAGGAGTTTATAATAGGAGTCTCTATATATAGGTAATTTCATATAATAAACTCAAGTCCCTATTCTTGGTTATATAAGTAAGCTATATAAGAAACTCTTTCTGGCCTATTAAAGTAGTCTCTATCCCTAGTTATATAAGTCGTAATATATAATAAACTCAAACTTTTCTTGGATTATTTTTAGAAGAATTAGTAAGCTTTTCTAAATAGACTTATTAAGGCCTTGGTTTTTAAAGATATTAGTCTAGCCTTCTTATTTCTTCCTTAAGTAATAGTTTGGCTCTTAGGAATTATATGCAAATATTAGAATAAATAAGGAGATATATTATATATACTTTCTAGATAGATTAGAATAGAACCTATAGGATTTCTGTAATATTTTTATTAAATTTATAGTACTAGCTAGTAAAGACTTTAATAACTTTAATGAGACTTGAATTGCGAGCCCGGCTTTTAGATTTCCCGCTTAACTTAAAGATTAAGTAATCCATAATAGGTTGCTTGTTATAGAATATATTATACTTTTTTCCTAAAGAGTACCAGGTACTAGTAATAGTCCGGAAGCCCTAAAGCCTTTGAGACTCTTTATAAGTTTCGGGCTTTGGGGCTTTTCTATAGCTAGCTAATTATATGAAATTATATAACTATACGAGTCCGGTATTAATATAAAGTAATTAGTAACTTTATATATAGATATAGTATGGTTTTTAGTATAGCTAGTCTAATATATTATATATTCATATATAAATGCCTGTAATTTTATTATTATAATATAATATATTCTTAATATATCCTTAATATAAAAATCCCTTTATAATCCTAGACTTTTAGGAGCCTCCTCTATACTAAAGGCAGAGTATATAATACTATTTGGGTATTAAACTTAAAAGGTAAAGGATTATAAAGGCCCTAATAATTACAAGATTTTATAAACTTGGGTAGATTTAAGTATTATAAAAGTATTAAATTTAGTAGCCTGACTTTTAAATTATATAAGAA